TCTGCAAATGGATGTAATGTGACAAGCGAGGAGCGGCTTCCGTCTCCGTGCCCCCTGGAGAGCAGAGAGCTCTGCTCCCGCCTCACTCCGCGCAGCTAACCCCGGGCACAGGGGGAGCCTGTTAACAGCCGCCCTTTCCCTCAGGCCCGCGGCACAGAGCTGCTCACTTCACCCACCCCCCGCGCCACTGAAAGGACTTGCGAGGCGGAGGCAGCGGCTGGCTGAGAGTCTCCTCACTGCCTGACACCGGACAGGTGGGCGAGCCCCTGCCATGGCCCCCGGGCCGAGCTTCCCAGAGCCTACAACTCGGCAGGCACAAGTTGGGGGTAGGAGGAAGCCTCCCTCCCGGGGAGGTGGGGTCTACTAGCATGTACAGTGCTCCCCCCGCCCCCCCCCAACTCGCCAGTTCTGGCTGGACGTTCATATTCCAGCAGGTTTTGTGGCAGAGCAAGAATTTTGATTAAAAACTAGATTAAAAACACAAACTACACCGACATCTGCAGAAACACAGCCCTAGAGAGCAACCCGGCCCTTAATTGGGGGGAATTGACTTAGGGGGCAATTCCTATGCCTGTTGACCCATCTAGGGATGGGGCAGGGGTTGTGGTTACACCAGGACTATCTTCTCAGCCTAACTCTCTATCAGGGGTCTCCTGAGATACCAGGAGGCGTGGAGGAGAGGAGAGTGTTCTCTGTCCTGTACCTTCCCAGGAGGGCAACCCGTGGCCCTTGTGTTTGTGCTCTCAGGAGCCAGCAGTGTCCCTATGGACTCCCCTTAAGCAGCACCCAGCTCCTGGTCACACCAAGCAGAGTACCAAGAGTCTGGACCCCCTAGCTTGGCGGGTGCCCTGGGGAAGCCCTGCATTTGGTGGGCAGGGACAGTGCACTGTATCACAACAAAAAGGTAGAGTTAAGATCACAGGGGTGGCATCTGAGGTATCTTATTCTTAACTCTTCCTTTCCTGGGTTTCAGAGGTTAAAGTTTAACCACTCTCCGGAAGTACAGGAGGCACCACTGGGAAATTTCTCACTGTATTATCAAAGTTTGGGGGCATTTAATTTCCTTGTTATGTTTTCTATAAACAATTTCTCAGCATCTCTGTGCACCACAGATCAGCTCTCCACCTGCACTGACTCTGGTTCCTTGGCAGTGATTTCCCAACCACAGAATGCACTGGCCACATGTTAGTCCCTTCACTGCCTCTGCATGGTTTCCTTGTATCCCATCTCTGCCTGTCCAACACAGCCTGGTTTTTCCTCTTCAGCTCTCCCCACCATGGAGAGGCAAGTACTGGCACAGGCCCCACAGGTTGAGGAGCTGGGGAGAGAATGCAGGGGCTGGCATGAACACAGAGGGCACATTTTTGAAGGGAGGCTTATTGGGGGGGGGGCACAGAGATAAAGCAACCCCCAAATCCCTCACTGCACAGTTCTGACCACCTCCTTTTCATTGCACTCTTCAGTGCACTGTTGCAACACTGCCATCTCCCTCATCATTGCTCTGACCCCGGTATTTCTTCCATCTGCTCAGAGACTCTAACACTGCTCCCTCCTCTATCATTCCTGCCATCATGTCCCCTGTCCTGACCACCCTGCAGCTCCAAGACCCCTGCCTCCTGCACGCGCGCACACACACACCCCGGCTCCACCCTCCCACTTACTACTCTATGCCCCTTTTAAAGTTGGAGGCTCTATGGGGACAGGGGAAGGTAGTGGGATTGTGAAGAGTGTATGCACCAGCTGGAGGCAAAAAGGGGGACGACAGTAGAGATGCAGAGTTCCTGCTCTAAATGTAGGCCTAGTTTGTGGCTCTACCCATCCATTTGTGGTGTAGGAAGTTTCAAGAGATGTTGTGACAATCTGTACCTCTATGTTTACCCCTTTTTGTAGGATTATGATAAATCTTGTACAAAGTATGTCTTGTGAAAAACTCATAATTTGTTGATCATTATTGTCCTGGTAAAATATGTGTGGCAATATTGTATGTAAAGTTATAAGATTCTACTGTGTGATATTACTAAAAGCAGCCACAAACCAGTTCCTCAGAGAAAAGGCTAGTCAACACCTCAGCCAGGGGTCAACGAAATCAAATGGAACATCGCTTGGTTAAGTGACTATTCTTTGGCAAGAAAAAGGGTGTGAGAAAGACATTTACATCTTGGCAAAGAAACAGCTGGAGGTTCCCGTCCCCACAGACTTTCTGTCTCCTGAAGCCCAGCTGGAGAGGACTCTCAAAGAAAAGGAAAAGTATAAGAATGTGAAACATGTCCCTGTGGCCCACTCCGCTTCCCGCAGCTCCCATTGGCTGGAACGGCGAACCGCGGCCACTGGGAGCTTGGACAGCCATGCCTGCAGATAATCAATGTAAACAGTTTCACGGCCCACCAGTGGATTGCCCTGATGGGTCGCGTGCAGCCGCAAGCCGCAGGTTGACCACCACTGGTCCAGAATATACTCTGGGTAATGTCACAGGCGTGCAGTACCGGGTTTACCATGGCGCCGGGCCCAGCCTCCAAAGGGGCCCCGGCCCAGCCCGCTCTGCTTGGGCTGCAGTAAGGTCCTGCCAGCTCTTCTCCGCCCCACACCCTCTGCTCTCTCCTGTGGGGGCAGAAGCTTGGTCCTGCCGGCTCCTGCTGTAGGGCAGGCTCCGCTCGCACCCACCAGCAGCCAAGCTTTCCCCCCTCCTCTTCCCCTAAGCGTGCCACATTCCCGCCCCTCCCCCTCCCAGCGCTTCCCCTGTCTCCGAACAGCTGTTAGCTGGCACGAGGGAGGGGGAGGAATGGGGCCGCAGCGCACTTGGGGGAGGAGGCGGAGAAGAGGTGGAGGCAGGGCCTTGGGGAAGGGGGTGGAATTGGGGCAAGGGGGAGCAAAGGTGGGGCCCCCGCACTCCTCTACACATACCCCCTCCAGCCCCCTGCTGTGAGCCACTCAAGGCAGGGGGCTGGGAGCACCCCAACAACCCCAGCACACACCCCCAGCCCCCTGCTCTGACTCCTGCACCCCTCTCACACATCCCCACGACCCCAGCCCCGACTCCTGCACCCCCCCCCCACTTCCCCACCTCCACCCTGAGCACCAAATGGGAGCTACCCCAGGTAAGCGCACTCCACACCCCAACCTCCTGCCCCAACCCTGAGCCCCCTCCCTCACCCTAACTCCTGGACAGACCCTGCACCCCAACTCCCCAGCCTGTTCCTGCACCCTAACTCCCTCCCAGACCCTGCACCCCCAGCCCTGAGCTCCCTCCTGCACGCTAAGTCCTGGCCAGATCCCGCACCTCAACAAATTTTTACATTTTTTAAATAAAGCGCTCTCATCCAAAGCGCTTTACAATAGTTAGCTAATGGTACAAACAATATTTGGAAAGATCACTAAGTGGTCTGCCAAAGCCCCCAGCAATTTTCAAGTGGTCTGTGGAAAAATAAGTTAGACTACAAGAACAATCAAGGTACCTCACTTTATTTTCATCTACTTGCTATTATTTATAGGAGGAGGATGAAGAAAAAAAGAATGAAAAACAGGGGTGGAGGGGAGATAAGAGAGAATGTTCTTTTTCTTGGCTGGGTCCCAAGGAGGGGCCCACTAACTAAATCCGCCACTGGGGTTGACCCCTCCCCCATAGCTCCCCACGCCACAGCCAGGAGCTGATCCCCCACTCCCCGAGCTCTGCATGCCACTGCCAGGACAGGGGCTGACCCCTCCCTCATCCCAGCTCCCCACACCACTGCCAGGGGCTGGGGCTGACACCCTCCCCACACTGCTGCCAGGGGCTGGGGCTGGCCCCTAACTGCCCCAACCTCCATTCTGGCTGGGACTGAACCCCCAAGCTCCGATGCCTGACACCTCGCATCTCCACCGTCCCACACACACGTTCCTCTACACCCCGCTAGGGGGGTGCACCGGACTTTTTTTGTAAACTGGGCATTTGTTCATTTACTCTTGCCAACTTGCCAGTTGGCAAGAGCAAATGGGATAAATACCTGTTTTTGTCAAAAAAGTCAGGATGGCCGGGACAGAGCTTAAAAAGGG